CCCCCCCCCCCCCCCCCCAAAGTAAAAAAGTTCCCGAATATGAATAAAAGTGACAACAACATCAATAACAAGTACTAAAATATGCCAACTACCTGTCTTCTTCACAACCTCTACGCCGTTGCTGCTACCACTATTATCACTTTCTTCTTCGTCATCATTGATTTTCTTTCTTCGTTCGTTCATTTGTTTCGAAGTCATTTCTGGCTGCTGCTGCTGCTTCTTCTTCGCACCTTCTGACCACGACCCACCAAAACGTCCCCTTTTATTGCTGCTATCGAATGTTTTTCCATCTGAGAAAACCAAAATCAGTCGTGAAAACAGCAACAATAAAATACTTCAAAATTAACCAAAAGAGGATGGAAGAAAGATGAAGAAGACAATCAATAAAACTCAAAATGTATCACCTGCAGATCGATTGAAAGCACCATTGTCACGATCGCCACGACCACCTCTATTACCAAATCCACCGCGAAACGGTTTACCATTGCCTCTCTGGAAGCCTCCTCCCCTACCTCGAGGACTGAATCCCCCACGACCTCGAGGTGACATATCGCCACTACCTCTTCCACGAAATCCTCCCCCTCGACCACCTCTTGGTGAAAAACCGCCACCTCTTGGTGAAAAACCACCACCTCGACCTGACAATAATGAATTTTGCAAATAAATAAACGAATCATCTACTCATCATCATCGCATGAAACATGCTAAACGACAATGAGCAAAGAACTGATAAGAAGATGAGATAAAGCAATACCAACAAAAACAATCAACTGCATTTTATATGTTGTATATATCTTCTCAGCACAATGCAGTTACGGCACATCCAATGATCACTTTTAACGAAACCAAATGAAATCAAAAAAGAAATGACCTCTTCCTCTTCCCTGAAATCCTCTCCCTCCTCCACCACGTCCCCGATCAAATTTGCCAAAACCACCACGAGTTGCGATCTCACTTGAAGACATGACGACTGCAATATGATGATGATGGCAATACTTGATCTTTTGAACGATAACGAATCAATAGAATCAATAGTTTCGAGCATATGCGTGATTGATAATAACATGGTATAAACAGCAGCATGTAATCGTATGGACAAATACACATTACAATGACAATTACGTGGATGACAAGGAATAAAATTCTGAATACCGCAATTCCCTTACTTCGAAGAAATCTTTTTTCGCTTAACAATAACCTGTGTAAGACTTCACTCCAAAAAAATTAAATGAATTATTCGCGGGTTGAATTGTTGCTTTGCCTGGCGCATCCTAGTGGACAATTTCATCCTCCAAAATGATGTCTTTTCAACTACACATCTTTCAGAGTTCATTTTAAAAAATGATTGAAAGGTCGCGCCATCTATTTTACACGCCTGTGCTTCTCATCCGTGATCATGCGAAATGACAATCAACTTATCTTATCCTGGCTTTCAAATTAATCTTTGGAAGCAAAACTACACAAAGTTGAAAGGAGACATGCAACAATAAACCTGTACTTTGCTGACAAACATTAGTATGAACGAGAGCAGAAGATGATGCAATTATAGCATTATTATTGGTACATCTTCAGTTTAGGGGCTACACCGAGCAAATAGACGTGAGCCGAAGCCCATACGTAGCCTCATCGCCGGATGGGCTGAGAAATGTGTCTATTTGCGCGTGTGAAGCCCCTAAACTAAAGAACTGCCTCATTATTGAGAGTTAGTTATTATAAAGTGATGATGAAATGAAAGTGGGCAACTGAAGAGAAAAAAAAACGTTCGTAACCACACTTACACAACGACAGTCTGAAAACGCGAACTCTGGTCAAATGCTGAAATAAACGCGCGTTGATATATCGCCTTAACACACTACTTCCTATAGAGAGGGTAATTACCCCTTAGGGTTATTTTAAGAGTATAAGGGAAAGGGATAATTGAGGGGATCGGCAAACAAATTTCGTGGAAAACTGATTTTATTATAGCGTGATTTACGCTTAGCCCAGTGATGAGGCTAACGCAAAGCTTTGACTTAAGTGTCAAGCGTATGAGCACACGAGCATCTGTGATGGCGCAGTGGTGCCCGTTATCAACAAAAGTATCAAACTAATTTCCTTCATTCTACCGAGAAATTTCTGGATTAATTTTTCGATTTGCTCCTGACCTTATACAGGGAAATAGTAAATTCTTGTAGGGAGGGTAATCACGGCCCGTCAGACCATCAAAGTGGGTAACTGAGCTCAGAAACACTACTATAAGAGAATTTCTAGCATAATTCATGATGTCTAGCTCAGACACGCCATCATAACAACACAAAAAGCCGTTCCTAAATCGTCATTAACAAACCAAAGGTTCGTTCAGAAAGTGCCAAAAAGCAATTTCATATGCGCGCGCACCATAGCGTTTCATGGTGAAAGAACGAGAGGAAAATGCTTCGTGAAATGAACTGACTGAATTTTGTCGAGAAAACTGGTAATGAGAAGGAAAAATTGCCATAACGCAACATTGGCGACTGATTGCAAATGGTAGATCAGGAAGAGGACTAAAATCACTGCAAAGCATCACTTTATGTTTGGAGCAGTTCTCGATAAACTCGGTAGTCACCATCAAATACTAGTGTTGCGTGCGCCTCAGGTACCGAAACATAACTTTGCACAGCTAATGCCAAATAATCCACTGAATAGAGAATTCAATTCTCCACAAACTGAGAATTTTTCAGGGAAGATCCTTGCTTAGTTTTTGACACTGTAACTTAAAATTACGGAAAATATTGTTGTTGCGAGCGATTGAAGTGGAAAAAATGCAAAGGCGGAAAAATTTTGAAATATGTACGGCTCGTGTAACCGCATGTTTGGAATACTTTTTTGACAAGTCTATTGACTGCTCGATTAAAATTAGGAAGTTTGTTCATTAGAAGGCATTTATATTTGAATGGTATTGATAGCCACTGAACAGTCAGTGCAAAAATATTTCACTGGGAATGTTTTCAACAGCAATACTGTAGGCGTTTGTTGACGGTTCGATAATAGTGGTTGAGTGATTATAATAATACTCAAAAAATGAACTTTTTCGTATCTTTTGTCGCGTTTGAATACTGTCGATCACTTTTCTGTACTGTTTGTTTCCAGAGCAGAAAATAAGTTGCAGAAAACCTTTGAAAAATCACAAAGTACCGCTCGAGTTCTGCTCGCTCGTGCATTACTTTCATCGCTCTTCTCATGCTATACTTACCTTTTCCCATTTCTTTTCAGCTAAAATCGTACGTGGTAGTTCCAGTTGCACCTGAAGAAGAGTATTTCTCGCTTCACGTTCACTTAATACAGTAACATTCCATTTTTTAAGCTAAACGTAATTGACTGGCAACAGATTAATCCATTCAAGGCTGACGAGATCACATTAAACAGGAATGGAAGTAGTTGATGATCAGAATAAGGATATCACAACAGGACATCACAGATGGCAAACATAATAGAGTAGAATCTATTGGGTTAGCTATCATTCATCCAGGCTGTATAGACTTGTCTTCGTTCGATCATTTATTAATATTAAATCACAAAAAATAATGAAGGGCTTAATGACGTTCCAATGCATAACGCCATCAGATTTACTGCATATATTTAAGAAAGATTAGGGCGATAAATCAGACGGAAACTGTTATTACTGGAGGAATTGCAACCAAAGCAACAACAGAAATTGAATGAGATGTATTAGCCTGGCTCAACAGAAAGAGATTTACAATCACAACGGAAGTGGAAGTGCTTAAAGCGTTATGTGACATTTGAATATTTAAATGTTTGGATGGGCAGGGGTGCAAATTTGTTTGAGAATAACAAAAAATGTACCGAGAACTGCAGATGAAATGTTTTCGATTCTAAAGATCGATTAGTACTAACAATACTGCCAGACAGGTTAATGAAATGTGGGAATACGAGACGGAGCTAAGATACTGGGAGGGAGAATAAATTATGTGGCATTAGGTCATGGAAAGGGATGTGGATTATTGTTACAGGCAAGATTACTCCATTCAACTGCACTGGATTGCAGACCGGGTTGTTCGAAGATGGCAGGCAGTCTCGTCGTTCGATGCAGTGGTTACCGGGCAGTCGTTTCAGGGGCTCGCTTCCTCGTTGCGGTTTTCTGTACAGGGTTCTACATTGAGTACAGGTTTTTGTGAACGCTTCAATACTCCTTCCGACTTCGAACTCAATCCCTCATGATGGAATGTAACTTGGTAAGCCGGCTGCTCGAAATTTCATATGTGATGAACACTTTGAGTGCATGATAGAGTGAGTTTGCTCTGTTCTGACAGTATTCTCTATTACTATGGTTTATCATCATAATGAAGTATAGTGAATATGACGATGGATCATTCATGAAGAATTCATTTATTCACGCATTATTGCATTTAAATTACATGCTAATAAATGAAATCTTGTTCAAAACTTGCCTTCGTGCGCACTACAAACCATCTACTCGAAAAGATTCTACATAGATAATGGTGACATTCAATTATAGTCGAACCTCAATTTGCGTGGATCCTCAATTTTTTTCAGTTCATCAAAATTAGGAACGTTCCACGTTTAATACTATCAGTTCATTGCAAACACGAGCCTTCATTTTGAATATCTCCGTACTTTTCTTGGTTAAATCACCTTTATTCAATAGTTGAGCCAATTCTTTTTGCGAGTATGTAGAAAACATATTTCTCTTCTCATATTAAAGAGACCTCATGCACACGCTCATCTTAGGTATAGTGAAACTCCTGTGCCTTATCGATAAACTAATTCGCCTTCTACAAACTCTTTCTCTCCGTGCTCTGCCTAATCGCGTCGCTTGAAAAGTGCACTTTGGCCTCTGTTATCAAAGATTTACCCAAACAAAACGCCAGTGTGAAAATTCTTCGAAAAATGGGCGGGACAAAAATAAGACGTTCGTCCGTGGTGCATAAGTGTAGCTTTATTTGATTGCTTGCTTTGGAGAAATCATTTCGACGGACGTGTCCACTTAAATTGGATAAGTTGACAAATGCCATTATAACCAAGATTATTATCACTGCTCTCATCATTATTAAACTGTGTAACAAACATTGCAAACACTGTTGTGTGATAATAATAGCAAAGTGATAATAATAATAATAACAATAATAATGATAATAACAATAATAATAATAACAATAATAATAATAACAATAATAACAATAATAATAATAACAATAATAA